ATCGCAGTACTGTCTAATTTTGCTTGCTTCGCTGTCAGTCGAACAAACGAAGACTAAAGCGTGAATGACGCTCTGTATACGATTTTAACGCCCTATAAGTTCGGACACTTTTTAGCGCGGACCCGACGTCCATATAATTGTAAGTCAATGATATACACTGATTAGTATACGGTTTTAAAATACGATTCCTAAACATTTTCACGATAGAAAAAAAACACGGGCTTAATTCGAAATTTTACAAGAAAACCGCTGTGTTCAATAAGTACTTTACATATACTGACTGAACTAAACTAAATACGAATAGTATACGACATATATTTTTCATCATACAATTTCTCTTTTCACAAACAAAATTGAGCCCATTTGAAAAATGTATATCGTATACTACACGTGTTCTATTTAAAACTAACTAAACTGGCACTGCCCCGCAGAGGTCTCAGGTTCTATTCACGGGCCGGACGGACGAGAAATATCTGTATGGCCTACATTTATTCTCTCGTGAGTTTGGGTGTGATTTGTAGTTGTCTATGTGTGTTCCATGGCACACGCGATACAGGGTTTCCTAGTGCGGAACTATGTTGAGTGTGTGCGTTATTATTATTATTAATTTGTTCTCTGTAAAGTGATATCTCTCTCTGAGATCTGTAATTGGAAACGGAGCTGAAATCGTTGAATAAGGATGATTTTTATCGATGTTTAGAATATGTTGCTACACACCGTTTCATTTTACAGCTTCAAAATAATTGTGTATTTCCTCCAGGCCAAAGCCCTTGGAAGAACCGAAGACTGTCTACACGGACCCCACTCCTGCCCTGCCGGAGACTTACGAGAAGAAACCTGCCAGGTTCGGATCTCGCTTCTACTGGATGACCGAGTAAACGTCAATACGACGTCATTGACGATAATTATTGTCAATATATTATATCGCCGATAATTATTGTCAATACAATATTATATTGGAGATAATTATCGGCAACACGATAATTATAGCCAATACGATATTATATTGGGGATAATTAACATCAACACGATAATTATTGTCAATACCATTTTTTCACGATAATTATAGTCAATAGATATTATTGTCACTACCGTATTATCTTGACAATAATATTTATCAGCATGATAGTAACATTGTCAATACGGTTTTGCGGCAATAATTATCAATCTAATATCGCCTAGTTTCGGAACATGTTGAGCAACAATTGTAGCGACATTTTTTTTATATATCTCAGAATAACAACTCCTATTGCGATATTAGTGACAAATTATTGAAAATTTTGAAAGTAATTCTTATATTGAAAGAGTTGATTTTTACTCGTAATCGTTTATTAGCTATCAAGAGTGTCCATACACTCGACTAGTATCCAAATAAGTGACATATTAAGGATATATAAGCGCAAAAAATTAAATTTTTATAACCCAAGTTAACTTTTTTTTTTATTATACGTATCTACATAATTTTAAAGAATTTTGTATTTAAGTATCTTTATGCATCATGTATGATATATTTGCTATGTAATATTACGCGTAAGGAATTGTTATTTTGTAATATTTTAAAACCATATGAATAAAACACATGGAGTATTCTATGAATATTTATATTTCTAATGTGCAGTGTTGGCACGGTTTCAATTATTGGCACCTTATAAGAATACATTATTAGAATAAAACGTGTACCAATATAGGAAAAGATACGAATAGATGAAGAGGCTGTATGGTGGAACCTTCGCATACCCAAATGTATGAGTGAAAACTTATTAAAATAAAATATTTTTATTTTTTTCCATCCTTTATGGCAATATTTTAACAAATGGCGGGTTTTAGTATTTTTGTTTATGTATATTACGTTGTGCTTTTCTTGATTGTTTGTTACTCTCTGGCTCTGAAGCCAATGCTTTATAAATAACTAATAATAATAAGCATCCTCTAAGAATTATTTATTGGCATTTTGGTTGTTATTTTTTAAATTCTTTCTTTTAAGGAACAGGCAAAAGTTTAAAACCTTTATTTGGATACTTCACTTTTTTTTTTCATTTTTATGGCTATATCATTACTGGAAATGATGATTCTGCCAACGTCACGATAGGAAATAACACCGAGTTGTAATTGTGACATTAACATAAAAAAAAAGACCTCAAAAGTTTGTGGAATTACATCTATTTGCCTAGTTTTATTGAGATCGGTAAACGAAAAGTAGGTGAAGTCCAATAAATCGGATTATTCCCCGAATTTGCTACCCTCAAACGTGGAATATTTTCTTAAAATTTTAATGAAACCACTACGGACGTAACAAAAAAATAATCATCGCAATAAGGTCGCCAGTTGCACTTTTCCTCCGTTCTATAATGTAGTTGGAATATAAATAAATAAACCTATTGTGTTCAATGGGTTTGTTATCTAGACAACGAGGCGTCGCCTAAAATCAACTCTTCTATAAGTATTACTTTAAAATGAAATAGTATATTTAAAATCATATGTAGATTAAATAAATAAAACTGTTAAAGTTATTTTGTTGTTTTATTTACATGTGTACGTTTGACAGCCTGCTGTGATTTCTACCTAGGGCCGTTGTTATTGCAAGTAACATGGAGGTGCATTTAAATATTAATTGTAAAGCCCGTTAAGGCATGTTGTTGACTATACAATAGAGAAGCAAATTACAAAACGCGTGAAAATTTTGGTGCCGTGTAGCCGGGTAAATAAAAATGGTAGAAATACAAACAAATGTAAAAAATTATGATTTATTTAAATTAAAACTCGTTATTAACCCAGTGCATAATTTCGGTTGGTAATGCCTTGAATCCTTTTGCGGCTTCTTTGATTTCCACAGCTGGGACTGATAAAGCGTGAAGTCTGAAAATAATAAAATGTGGATTGAAAATAATAATTACAATAATATAATAACAAATTTGTAGATTACGTCGATGGATGCTTTGGGTGTTCGTCCGTCCACCCTGAGATATTTTATAATTTTAATAATTATAATTATTAATACAAAGATTACTCAGAAAAAATTCCTTCGATCCGTTTTTTCTGAGTGTTCGATCTTTGTATTAATAATTATAACAAACTAGTGGAGTAATTTCACAAAAAATAATTGAATATCAATTCAATAAAAATTTAATTAATACAGTGAATAGCGACATCTCTCGCCAGGACTGGTAGCTGTAAAGGTATTAACTGGGTGATAAATCTGTAATAGATTTCTCATAGATGGCGCTACGACTAAAAAGTCGTAGCGACATCTCTCGCCAGGACTGGTAGCTGTAAAGGTACTAACTGGGTGATAAATCTGTAATAGATTTCTCATAGATGGCGCTACGACTAAAAAGTCGTTGAAAGACCAAGTACAAAGACACGACGCAAGCACATAGAAAAATTCGTGAGGTCCGTTGGTTCGTTCCGTGGCTTAGTTGGTATAGCGTCTGGCACGGTATGCAAGAAGACGTCGGTTCGAATCCGACCGGATCGAAGGAATTTTTTCTGAGTGTTCGATCTTTGTATTAATAATTATAACAAACTAGTGGAGTAATTTCACAAAAAATAATTGAATATCAATTCAATAAAAAATTAATTAAAGTAAACATTTTATAATAAGCTACAAACAATGGTTTGTTTTGACTAATATGGAATGCAAACCACCCCCGGCCCAACTGATAAATGTAACTCGAAAAAGTAATTAATTAGTATTTGGAGGTTTTAACCACTATTGTTGGGTAGTTGCAAAGTCATAATTTTCCTGCAAATATACAATAATTAGTAATTAAAGCACCACGTGCTTTTTTTAAATATAATATCAAAAGCGTATAAAACAACGAGTTGTATGTGCACGAATATAAAAGGCCGACACACGATAGGCGGGGGCTTTTTGACGGTTGGCAACGAACTTGAGCAGTGGCTCTGCTGGAACCAAGTGTCATTCTAACGGCTTCTTGTATATTCGAATGTGTTAAAATCTAGCTAATGCTTAATAGTTAATAATTTCTTAATTTAAATGCTATAAAACGTACATAAATATATTCTTAAGTGTGTGCTTATGAGCGACATAAAAAAAGTGATTATAGGATGTGTAAGTACATGAATTATGTTTATATATAAAAATATGTTTTGATGTAGCTTAATACTTTAATACCGTCTTCTAATCCAGATATTTTACAATACTGTGCCATTCCTTGTATCTACATTTAGACATTTATACACTCGTTTGGAAAACCCTATCATGTTTTCACATCCTTTTGAAATATGATTATATCATATATAATAATTATTAAAATACGGTACCTATACTCTTTTTGGACACCGCCAACGTCAGTTCCATGGTCACCTCTAACGGGCACGATCAACTCCAGCTCTTGCAGGTGTTCGAATGCCTTCAATATAACCGGACGAGGTACCGTTTGGGCTGTTGAGTTTGCTAGCGCAAATTTTGTGTACCTGAAATTATTACATAATAAGGATGTCACCACAATTATCGCGAAATTGGTATTATTGGATACGAAAATAGCACATTGTTTATTAAGGGCGGTAAATAAGGAATTACGAACGAGGCCCTATTAGAAGCTTTCGGAATCGGGGTTCGCAACTCAACATACAATGTTTTTCATCACACTTGCAGGTAAATAGTATGATTGATTATATGCAGGCTAACTTGACTATAAATTGACTACAAATAAAACCCTCGAGCCTTTTTTCTTCTCATTACAGCCATGGTCGGTAATTAGAAGAGAAAAGGCCCGAAGGTTTCATTTAGAATTACGAACGAGACTATTAGAAGCCCGAAGTCTAACACTGAGGGTTTTTGGAGCGAGTTCGTAATTCCCGTACCGCCTGTAAAGCATACAATGTTTTTCATCATACTTGATTATTTACATAGTCAAGCGTGATGAATTATTGTGATTTTTTTCTGCAAATTAAGAAAAAACTCTTCACCGACCATGGCTGTAATATATAAATTATATATATATGCCGATACGCCGTCTCCCACAACGTGCCGGCCCTATCCATGCGCCGCGGACTCCGCCCGACCAATCGGAGCCCCTGAATTATTTACGTAATTCTACTCATATTGCTCTGACCGGCCAGACGCGTACGGCCGTCCGTAACAAACATAATTTGAATTTTAATAAGTTCTCTGGACGCGTCTGGAGTCTCTTTTAATTAGGAAAAATATAACGTCATTTTTTTATTTTGAGAACTACGGAACGAACTTGCAGACTTTACGATATAAATCATAATAGATAAAAATGTACGTGCTTGTTGCAGATCTTTGTTTTTAACTTTTAACGGCTTTTTATCGTAGCTCAGTTAGGAGAGCGTCAGACGCAGTATGCTGAAGGCGCTGGTTCGAACCCAAGCGGATCGAACCATTTTTTCTTAGTGTTCAATCTATCTATTGGTTATTTTCAAGGCAAAAGCGAATAGGCATTATATTTTAACCATAAAAAAGTTACGACAATAAATTAACAGATACGACAGTTAGTGAGGGATATATATATATTTTTTAACTACCTGTGCAAAACCATTTCAAAATTCAGAGGTTGTCCGTCAAAAATAGCGCTTCCATGCATCATAGCGATTAGTAAAGAAAACTCCAATATAGACAATGACTGTAGTAATTTTATTCTATATTCGGGACAGACTATGTTGTCTATGGCTTGGGTGAAATCTGCTGATTCCAGGTAGTGCTTTGATGGTCCGAGTTTGCAGATTTGAGTGAACTGAAAAAAAAATTTAGTTCAAGATTTACCATTTTCTTACCGCCATGGCTGTAATGAGAAGAAAACAAGCCCGAGTGTTTTATTTGTGGTTTTATAGTCAAGTTAGCCTGCATGCAATCATACCATTTACGTGCAAGTGTAATGAAAAACATTGTATGCTTCACGGGCGGTGTAGGAATTACGAACTCGCTCTGAAAGCCCTCAGTGTTGGACTTCGGGTTTCTAATAGAGTCTCGTTCGTAACTTGTTATTTACTGCTCTTAATACACAATGTACTAATACAGCAGAACTCCTTGTAAAAGGGTTCGTCAAGGGAAGTACTGCCACCCTACCTATTTCTGCCGCCAAGCTGTAATGTTTGCATTACTGCGTTCCGTCTTGAAGGGTAAGGGTGCTGGTGAAATTACAGGCACATGGGGCTTGTCAACTTATGTCTAAAGATAAGACGAGCGCAGTGACAGTGGCCCTCTGGCAACTGATATGGACTGGCCTGTCGCTTGCCGTGAACCGTGCAAAAAATACGTGATTTCAATTTTTTTTTTTGGATCTTGCCTTGAACCAAAAAGTTTGGGACCCTATGTTGTAGATCAACTTACCATTAAATTCCTAAAAACCTGTTCATTAACATTATAGTAACAGAATTTTTCTAAAGCATCAATAACTTTCTCATTTTCACTCAAACTGTGAATATGCGCGTTCCAATCTTCGACAAACGTAGGCTCCAATGCCGTAAATGTTTCAGGGGTCACTTTACACTTGTCAAGCGCTGCCATTGGTAGAGAAACTGATTTATCTTGATCTATTTCCATTTGAACTTCAGGGTGCACTGAAATTGACAATAAATTGTAAGTACAGTTAACGTCAAAATTATCAGTGTTCCACAAAAAATATTGCCATTAATTTTGAAATTTTGTATGGTCTAACTTTCAAATACGATTTTTTTTAAAAGATTAGAAACGCAAGCTTAAATTCAATATTCTTTTTAACTGCAAATGTTAAATGTTGTCCAAACTAGTTCATACTAGAAATGTATAAAAGACGCTGTTGGTACGTTGGTAGGTTACCCCAGGTGTATGCTATACTATAACCAGCCGTGGGGAGCGAACTTTCTCTCCCAACCATAGTTCGCTCAATGGTTGCGAGCAAAAGGTCGTGGGACGCAGTCCAGGCATTCTGCGAGGAGGTCATGGCGAAGAAAGAGGCGGCGGAAAGGGAAAGGGAAGATTCAGCCCCTGACCCGATCCGCCGTCGGAGAGTGGGTCGCAGAAGGAGAGCTATGGCTCTCCAGCTGCCGACATAGGCGGGTAACGGGAGGCGAAAGCCCCCGTGACATGGGTCCATGAGCGGCAAACTTAGGGGAGTCCGTCGCTCGTTACTGGTGGACCCGAGATGGCGGCGTATGTGTTCCGCGTCTGCCACTCAAGATTGTTGACGGGGAGACAAGAACTCTCCCCGAAAAGCGAGATGGGATTCGGCGCCCAGTCGGATCAATCACCGCCGGAGTCGCGGAAGAATGCGTAAGCGTCCCCGTGCCTTCGGCACATGGTGTGAAGACGGAACACCGTCAGGTTTTAGTCGGTAGGAGTCCGACATAACCCTTCGCCTCCCCCGGGCGTAAGGGTATCCATGAGGATTTCCTGACGAAAAAAAAAAAGAAGAAAAAAAAAGGTGTAGGCTATAACCAAAATAACTTACACCAGTAGAGCTCCTTGTGAGAGTTTGTCCAGGGAAGAACGGCCATCTAATCTATTTCTGCCGCCAAGAAGTAAAGTGAGCATGACTGCGTTCTAGTTTTAAAGGTTAAGGATGATGGTGAAATTACAGGCACATGGGACTTGTCAACTTAAAGGCAGTTCCCATCAGATTCTCGTGATTTGAAGCTCTGAGTGGCAATCCAACTGTTTTGGACAGGCGTGTCGCTTACCATCAAGCGCACAACCTGTTTGTCCCAACACTTGCTATTATAGCACTAAAAAAACCGGCCTCAAAAGTCATCACCCCCCCCCCCCCTTTTTTTTTCTTGTACTCGACTGAAGGTCGGATATTTGGAACCGGGGGTCTACTCTCGATCTCCGTCCGAAACAATTACTGCCAAATAAGCAATACTTGACTAAATGAAAAGACGCGTGATGCGAATGAAGCTTCATACTGGATACTTGTCTTTTAATCGAGAGTAGACCCCCAGGTAATGACCTAAGCCAATTATTCTGGTTCGGTTGTGGTATTGTGATGGGATGTGAGTGGTGATTTTATTATTATTATTATTGTATTTATTTTAAACTCTATTATTATTATTATTATTATTAGAGAGGCTTCATTTGGGGCATATGAGGCCATTAAATGATCCATTGTGATCACATTTAATTATAATTCGGAGCCAAGAACAACAGCGTTAAGGAACTGAAGGACTTTCCTGGCTCTAACAGTTTTTATGTCCTCTGGGTGTCTAACTGCCTGGTGGGTGCCTGTGCCTAACCAGTATGGAATTTCTTACGCCCATTAGAGGGCAGCACTGGGTGAGAAGATGCACAGGAGTTTCATCCGCCTCGTGGCAGAATCTACATTCTCTGTTTTCTCTCTCTCCATTAATTGTATATAATATGTTGTTATAGTTACCAGAACTCTTTCTCCGTTTCTTACTATGTTTCACAACGGGCAAACTCAACAGACTGCTGAAAATGTCTTTGAAATTCTCCAACGGAGAAGACCCGTCGTTTGGAAAGATAAATATATGACGATGTGAGAAACGCGATTTTACACGTTTCTCTAGAAGGTCCATTACGTCGATGCGGTTTGTTATACCTGAAAATACAATGTTTGGATAACATTAGTCTCTCAATGGGTAGTTTTTTTTAATGACACTGTTAATACAACAATGTATTTAATTAAATAATTCCGAAACGTTTACAATACCTTTTTTAGAGGTGGGATGGGTGGATTCTATAGATCTTTTTGACTTACCCATGACGCACATAGGTGCTTGCTTCGCATGTGTGATGTCAAAAAGATTGTACAGCAATGTCTGCGTGCGACCGCTATGGCAGAACATGTCAAACTCGTCGAGTACAAATATCATGCTGCGGCATTGTCTGTCGTTGCCACTGGTGAGACAACTAAGTAGATAGCTTAGTTGTTCTGCAAACGTGCCAAACACTTTGCCGTCAATAGCGTTTTCTAGTTGCATCTGAAAAGAATTAAAATAAATATAACTTACATTTTTTATTGAATTGATATCCAATTATTTTTTGTGAAATTACTCCACTAGTTTGTTATAAGTATTAATATAAAGATGGAACACTCAGAAAAAATTCCTTCGTTCCGGCCGGATTCGGACCGACGACGTCTCCTAGCAAACCGTGCCAGACGCTATGCCAACTAAGCCACAGAACGAACCAGCAGACCTCACGAATTTTTCTATGTGGCTTTTGTAGTATCTTTGTATTTGGTTTTTCAACGACTTTTTAGCTGTAGCGCCATCTATGAGAGATCTGTGAAAGTATTTTGTCACCCAGTTAGACACCTTTACAGCTACCAACCCCGGCTAGAGATGTCGCTATTCACTGTATTTAATTTTTTATTGAATTGATATTCAATTATTTTTTGTGAAATTACTCCATTAGTTTGTTATAATTACTAATACAAAGATCGAACACTCCCATAATATAATAATAAAAATTCCCATGATCCGGCTGGATTCGAACCAGCGCCTTCAGCATACAGTGCCTGACGCTACCCAACTATCCTACGGAACGAACCGGCAGAGCTTTTGAGATTTCTCTATGTGCTTCTTGCAGATGTTTGTTTTTGTATTTTGTATTTTTAACGACTTTTTGCAGTATCTGTGAGAAATTTATGAAAGTTTTTATTCACTCAGTCAGAAACCTTAAATAGTATTAAGTTATTGAATATCACGATGTCTTACTAGTATGATATTCTATCTTATTGACGTGTCGACTCTGACGTTTATATTTGTGAGGACCAGTATTTAGCGACTGACAGAGCATTATCAGTGGCATTGTACAGGTTCTCGCGTGTGCAGGTGTAGGGACACGCAGGGCAGGACAAAAGATGTGCCGTTGCCTGGACAGACACACCACACAGACATGCGCTCTTCGAAAAATTCACGCAATTTTTAAAATTCTAAAATGGTTTAGCTATATTTTAATTGTCCCCAGTTAATAACATTTATTAGATATGTCTTCAAAAATCTGTTTTTCTGACCCTACTCTACATTTTACAGGTTGAATAAAAAAATTCAGTAAAATAAGTAACATACCTGTGCGGTAATAGCCTTGAGAGAGATCTTCTCGTCGTGATGAACCAATCCATTCAATTTCACGATGATTGCATCATTTGCCAAGTCTACTTCGTTGGATAGCTGATTTAGCACAGAGTTTATCAGCTGGAATCAGTGTTGGGCAAAATTTAATTGTTCTGGCAATTAAAGATTGACAATTGATTAATTGTCAATTGCGAAACA